ACATGGATTCAGCAGGATGTTGTTCGAAGAACGTAGAGGGGTCAACTAATCCCTCTCGGGGAGTCGAGCCCTCTACTTTCCCAAGCCAATGGAAAAAGACAATGCCGGCCCTGAGTCGGTTTCTCCAGCGCAAACAAATGACACTTGTCGGAAATTGTGGTAAATTAAGAAGTTTGATGGAGCATGGAGGAGAACATGGGGGTGGGGGAGGTGATCGACCCTATGAAGTGTTTTGGGGTACGTTTGCAGGTTCAACATGCACACACAGACTCAAAGTCTGGGAACGGGGGATGAAGGATAAAATGGTCTTTCAGCGGAGAGTTGGGCCTACACCGTGGAGCAAGCAATGCATACCAAGTGCAGCAAGCGGGTAGGTTTTGTCACCGAACCGTGGGAGGGCCGGGTCTTGGTGATTTCCATACAAGGCCGCGCTGAGGCCCACGTTTGAACTCAATGGAGCTGCTGGACGGTTGTCGCTATGATGCCGCACCCCCTCCGGGAGTGGACAGTGCGTCTGACAGTTCAGCCCCTCCGGCAACAGCAAAAGTGGAGAAAAGCGGAACAAAACAAAAAACGGCCTAGTATCAACATGCCTCTCCTAACATAAAACCAATCCCAAACGTCGAGAAACCGGGTTGCCTGTGTTGTCCCATTTTGGAGGGGCCCTTGACACTCGTACACATACACATAAATAAAACACAAACGCAGACACAAACACAAACACAGACACAGATACAGGCACAGACACACAGACACACAGACACACAGACACACAGACACACAGACACACAGACACACAGACACACAGACACACAGACACACAGACACACAGACACACAGACACACAGACACACAGACACACAGACACACAGACACACAGACACACAGACACACAGACACACAGACACACAGACACACAGACACACAGACACACAGACACACAGACACACAGACACACACACACAGACACACAGACACACAGACACACAGACACACAGACACACAGACACACAGACACACAGACACACAGACACACAGACACACAGACACACACACACAGACAGACACCCACCACACCCACGCACGCACGCACGCACGCACACGCGCACACGCACGCACGCACGCACGCACACAGACAGACAGACAGACAGACAGACAGACAGACAGACAGACAGACAGACAGACAGACAGACAGACAGACAGACAGACAGACAGACAGACAGACAGACAGACAGACAGACAGACAGACAGACAGACAGACAGACAGACAGACACACAGACACACAGACACACAGACACACAGACACACAGACACACAGACACACAGACACACAGACACACAGACACACAGACACACAGACACACAGACACACAGACACACAGACACACAGACACAGACACAGACACACACACACACACACAGACACACAGCGACACACAGACACACAGACAGACAGACACAGACAGAGACACAGACACAGACACTGACACAGACACTGACACTGACACAGACACACGCAAAACCGGTGCCTCAAAAACCTTTTGGTGTCCTCCAAAATAGGCCGCCAAAGGCTGGCATTTCTTTTGCTACTTGTTTTTGGAACGTGACACCGAATTTGTGTTTATCCTGTGGTCAAGGGAGGACCTTCTCGCCACTAAGAGGGTTCCTTTTGGTTGGGGGGGCCCATGGCGAGAACCCTGGTGTTAATGTCAACCACGAATTCATCCTGATGACCCTACTGATCGATTAGTACGCCGGGTTAATCCGAAGGTGGCAACCCCCAAAGAAAGGAATCCCAAATGATAGAACAAAAGCCCAAGTGGGTGTTTATCAAAAAGTAGCCCCCCCACTTCCCCCCCAAAAAAAAATCAGAACAGAAATAGTTGCTGCTGGTGTTCTTTGAGAAAAGACACACCCAAGTCTTGGCCGAGCAGCAATACAGTGATCGCGAGGCCAAATATCAGCAGCAACAGGCTGACACCCCAGAGAACGCGCTTCTTCTGCCTGCGACCCGTCGAGTTTGTGTGAAAGTCACTTAGTGATACTTGGCTGTGGCTCAAAATTAAACAGGAGGGGTTACGCGGGTTTTGGTCCATGTTTCCACTTACCAGGGTTCCATTTTGGTACCGGTTTTTTGAGCCACACCCACTTGTCTATGCACATACAAACATACATACACGCATATGCAACAAATAAGGCTAGGGGTCGTTCAATAATTAGAATTGGGGGTGGGGGGGTGGGTAAAATGTGTTTCATAGGGATAAACCGTTTGTAATGGTTGTGCCCCTCATAGTCTCCCGGAATTGTCCAAGTACAGCCCCCAACCCTGGGCCGAACTAGACCCCTGCAATTCCAACGTTTGGCTCGTAAGGGATGGAAACCAAAAAGGCAAAAGGCTAAAAAAGAAAGCTCGGTCTGGCAAGGCCAAAGGAAAGCTGGGGTCATGTTCAAGCTAAAGCTACTCAGGCCATCGAGATGACTTGCTCCGAGATGACAATGGAAATTCAGAGCTCCCCTGCGTTTTGTGGGAAATGGGTTTGGTAAGTTCTCCGATGTCCCTCCCAAATGGTGAGCTTCGACTGCCCAAAATAGGCTTCGGGTTCCTTTGGGCTTCGGTTCAAAAACTCTCCAAGAATGGAACCCTCAACAACAACATACCCAACTGGACCATAGACTAGACACTTTGACCAAACCTCAACGGCTCTCGCCCGAACGTCAGGGTTCTAGTCGGCTCTCGCACGGGCGACTGGTTTGGGTGGTACCATTTCTCGGGGATGTTTTGCTCATGGAAACTGAAGGAACATCGCGCTGGGGGTGAGTGCTTTTGGGGGTTCCCGATGTTGAGACAAACCCATTTTGCCTCCTTTGATCACTCAGCAAAGAAAAACAAAAACCATTGTCCATATGCATTGGCTTCTTGGTTTCCCTTTGAAACTAAGCAAAACGGGGTTCCCCGAACCATTGTCAAAAAAAGGTGACTTCGGTTAAGCCATTTCAACAAGCACATGCCCTAGCACCAACGACCCCTGGGCAGCAAAGGCAGCCGATGGGAACCCATGATTAATCCCCCTAGTTCATCAAAGGGGTCCCTTGGGGAATCCTTGCCAGGAGAAACCCCTGCGTAATCATGCTGTTGTTGCTGGTGTTGCTTTCAGGGGTGAACATTATAGTGAGTAACACTCAGTTCGCAAACCCAACAAAAGGTAGATCACAGTGCTACTAAGATTTCCCTGGAAACAGGTGAGTCACAATTCTCCCAGACTTCCAGTGGCCGTGCGGAAGACGTGCACCGATTTGTGGGGTAGATGCTTGTAAAGGGAACCCCTTCCAAAAAACACAAAAGGGTCTGGGACCAAAGGGCCAAAGTCATAAATTCCAAATCCCAACCAACCAATCAATCATCCATCCGTCCATCCATCCCTCCCTCCCTCCCATCCATCCCTCCCTCCCTCCCTCCCATCCATCCCTCCCTCCCTCTATCCCTCCATCCCTCCCTCCCTCCCTCCCTCCCTCTATCCCTCCATCCCCCATCCCTCCATCCCTCCATCCCTCCATCCCTCCATCCCTCCATCCCTCCATCCCTCCATCCCTCCATCCCTCCATCCATCCGTCCATCCGTCCATCCGTCCGTCCGTCCATCCATCCATCCGTCCATCCGTCCATCCGTCCGTCCGTCCATCCATCCATCCACCCATCCATCCATCCATCCATGGCTTCCCTTCAAACCAACCCCCCAAAAAAGAGGTAAATACCCTTAAAAAGGGAGCAACCCCCCAAACTTACAATAAGTTGTTTCACCAGACCCAAACCTAACTTACTGGGGTTAAGCGCAACGCCGCAACGCCGCTCCTGAGCTTGAGCTTGGCATATGGTGCAGGGACCCACGGCAACCAGCGCAGCGCACAGCGGCATGCCATGCGTGTGTTTCGTTCTTTTTTGGTGGAATGAAATGGAGAATGGGACTCAACGGCTTTCTCAAAATGGATTTGAATGGAACATGTTGTGGACGAGTATACTAGTGGACAAATGTGTCAGACAAACCCAGCGGAAAGGCATTGGTTTACTACAAATTGTTTTTTGGATTTGAGCCCGTGACAACGCTTTTGTCACCTTTGGGGATTCTTGAAGGGCACCGCTAGTTGAGAAAGCCATTTATTTCGCATGGTCGGTGGCACGCGCTCATGTGCTGTGCTGTAACTAGCTAAAGCGGCGAGGGAAGGTCGCTTAGCGGTCCAAAGCAGAGCGTCCAACTGCAGCAGCAAACTACTAGTGATAGACAAAAACATGCACCACCTGGATTTAACTGTCTGAAACCCGACAAATACTAGGATAAACGACCTACCAACTAATGCGAAGTTGAACCCGGACTGGTATCGGCTTGCGTTTCACACGCTCCTCGTAGGCGTCTTTGTGACAAGTAGGTGGTACCGGCAGAGGAACCCATCTATTTCTGACCCACGACACCTGTGCTCAGGGGTACAGCTCCAGAACTGTTGCGCCCGAAATGGGGTACTTGACGCTACATCGACACCAGGTGGCCATCTGATGACTTGGACATCCCAAAAAGGCATCCCCAAAAAGCACGATCTTCCGGAAGTGAGTGGATGGCCCACAAACGTCCCCCGAAAACTTGTTTTTCTGAGAAGAGCCTAAAGTCCAGGAGCAGGAGTGGGTTTAGTTCCCGGTTCTGAAGACATGTTTGCACATATCGGTTGCTCCTAGCCAGGTGGGCGACCTTTTGGTGTTTGTTTGTTGACACCCAGCCAAGAGGTGATACCCGCGCATCAGGAAACTCCCATAAGCGCCTTCCTTTTTTCACTCGCAGCGAAAAAGAAGCAATGTTGGCCCAGATGTATACAGTAGGTCCGGATTCATCATGGGGCTCTCCTTACAATGCCGAAACGTTCTGCAACCAGGCTATCTGCACAAACGTCGATATGCCATAATGGATGCTGTTCGGGCAGTACTTGGGATTAAGAACGGAAAACAGTCAGCTCTGGGAGTGGAGCTATGAATCCAGGCCCAAAATCCGGGATTCGCTATCCGACGCCCTTCCAAAGGAACTCGTACCTGAAGCAGCCGCCCGAGCAATGCTGATTTCCATTTATGGAATCCCTAGAGAGGGTTACACAAAGCTCCTTAAGGAACGCTAAGTTATGAACTTTAGGGAACCCTGGGCTCTCAACTACCCTCTGCGGTGTCTCCCCCAAAAGTGATCCGGATTCCTCTAAATGGGGTGCTCCCCTCCGACCAAAATCAACCCGGGATGTATTCATCCTGGGTTCGGAAGTCGACAGGAAGCGGACTGCCCACCAATCCAATACCAATGGCTCATAACGGTACCACCTCAAACCTCAGGAACTTTGCCTGCCCGGAAACCCGTGAGCAATCAGCTTCAGCTATTGGAGGTTTGGATTGATTCGTGGTTTGGAGGTTTCCCATTTTCCTTCTACAACCAGTGAACAAGGGCTTCGACTTCCCGAATCACCAATCCAAACCACCAATCAGGGGTTGTCTTAGACGAAATAGAGGTCAAAAACCAGCTTTGAAAGAACTGGTGTTTATGGGGCGGGGGCATGGTTTCTGTGGCTCTCAAACGTCCCAAAAAGGTACCAGGTTCGATGTAGTCACTGGCGCGAATAAGCTCTAGCTGAGCCACGAAGAGGAAGCAAACTCACGCGGCCCACCAAAAAAGGCAAAGAAGCCAAGCCCACCCCCAAAACCGCGCGCCTCAAGAAAACCCATTGTGTGTGTGTGTGTGCTTAAAGCTGGCGTAGAGTAAACAAACAAAGCACCAATCCTTGAATGGTTCTCGGGGCTGAAGCCGTCACCCGGCCCTCGCATGGCAAAAGTCGAGAGAACCGGTTCATCTCAGACCTCCGCCGGAATTCCACGGGACATGTTTTGTATGGTTGCCCCACAGGTCTGCGCAAAGCGATTCATGAGACTCTCATGCTGTCCAACAGCTCCCTTTCAAGTCCCCATAGAGGAATCCAGTCTTTGTGTGGCTCAAAGCGTCGAGAGGATTTGTCAGGCCCATGTTCAACTCAAAAGCCACGCGTCACTAGGCGCCCCGAAGTTTTCAAGCACTTTTCTGCAAAGGAGGTTGTCAGCCGGATTCCCCCCCACCCAATGCATTCACTGGTTTGCAATGGTCATTTAGGGCATTCTCGCCGTCCATTCTGTTTTGGGTTGATTTGAAGGCAAATTCCACACCTGGGGGCCACTCCAAACCTGGGGCAAGCGCTTTTCCCGATACACATGTGCACCTTCCGGGTTCGGCCTCGTTTTCCCCCGGCCTCGGCAAAGTGTAACGATCAAGCCCCGGTCCAATTTAAATTAGGAGACCAAACGGAGGTGACACCAGCCCACCGATCTCACAAGCCAAATGGGAGCAACATCTCTCTCCATCATCCTCAGAAAGACGGGAAGAAAAAAAGCAAAAAGGCTGCTGCAAACGATCCAATACTCTGCTCAATAATTGATCATGGGTTTCGGGGTTTTGGGGTTGCTTTACCCAGTCTTTAAACCATGGTGTAGGCGTGTCAAGTGCCCGCAAACCAGGTATAAGCTTCAAAACAATTGGAATGGGGTTGTGGGGGTACTTCAAAATCGAATTTGGTCATGATTCTAGGGATAAATGACTGCGGGTCAAAAATGGGTAGCCTGGCTGGTGGTTTTATTTGACCCACACCCAAATGACTCGTAATCATTTCGGCCCTTTGGGCAACTTGGACTGTCAGGGCACTCCAAGGACCGCAGCGCGGCACGCTCGCCGATGGAGGCTGCGCCCCCATGCCCGCCCTCCTTGCTCTCCTGGCGCTCGCTTAAAATCGGAGCTCCCTCGAATCAAGGGGGGATATTTGGGGAAGTCAAGCGGTTTGGGAAACCAATCCACCTTCAAGGAAACCACAAGGAAAACCAGTGCTTCCAGTTACCATGGAAGGGTGTCTTGCGCTAGGTATTTCATGATGGCTTCCCCTTACCATCTCATTGGCAGCTGGAAGCAGGCCCGTGGGCTACGCGGCTACTTCCTAAGTTGAATATCCAAGTGTGGTGGTCAACAAATTTGGAAACGGTCTCCTGGATCCTTGTTTGGTGACCAAGAAGGGGTGTTCCTCAAATTGGATGATAGTTTACGCCCGATAGTCGTCACTCAACTTAGTGGTCTTAACCAAGACCACACAACCCCATTCCAATTCTTTAGCCCGTATGATACGTCAAGCTTGTTTGACCATCTTCTGAATGGTCAACCCCTGGGCGGTGAGGCAACTGTTTAAGGATACGGAATCAACGCCGTCTGATTCTCCCGCCATGGGACTGCTAAAATTGGCGTCTGAACACCCTCATGGACTGGAAACGCATAGGCCTTCACCGATGGTTAAGCTACGGCTGTGGCCACCACAGCCCGGGTCGCCTGCCAGGGCAACACCTAACCGCCACTGGATGTTAGGAGCCAAACCCATCTCGATTTCCTTGAGGCCATTGAAGGCTGGAACCCCTCCCTCCGACGGCGCATGGTTCCAAGCGAAGAACCCCAGTGAAACTCCATGGGCGAGAAGAATCGGTGCACCCTCTTTTTCGTAGCTGTTCAAGAAAACCTCCCTCCAAAACAACCCGCTTGTTTCCTGTTACAAGGGAGTCTTTCCAAATTAGTCCAGGTGGTATCCCAACAGCAACGTTGCCTTCACACCTTCCCAAAAATATTCCCCCTGGAACCCTCCGGAACCCTCCGGAACCCTCCTTGAAAGCTGCTCCAAACCACCCCAAAGCTTATTGGCACCTATTGACCATAGCTTTCCGCTGGGGAACACAATTTCAAAAAGGAAGTGCCCACCGTCACGTCGGCTTCGCCGAGGCGCGTAGAGGAAGGCGTCCAGCCCCAAATCCTGCAGCACTTTCACCATCTTCCGCGCGTGGCACCTCGTGGGCCCCGCGTGGTTTCAGGCGAGTTCCCCGAACGAAGGAAACCCAAACCCCCCTGAAAAAAGCTCCGGGAATTTCGTTGGTGCTTGTTTGGCGACTCTTTCGCAGCGGGGAAGGGGCTCCGGGCTGGAAGGAGGGGCAAAAAGGCTGGAGGGCTCTTTGCAGCCCACCCAAAAACTTGAACGAACCGAGAAGAAGGCAAAGAACAACTGAAAAACACATACAAGAACCGTGATCTTCGGCTCCCCTTCAAAAATGTTAACTGTGTGCTGGCGCAGGAACCCCAAAACGCGCAGCAAGCGGAAAAAAGGGGGCAAAAAGCTTGGTTCAGTCTCGACACGTTTGCCTTCACCAAATGCTTGGGTTCCCTGTGGGTTTCCTTTAGCAACACAAAAAAACCAAAATGGCACCTTATTTGAATGTCTAACGCCAGTAACTCAGGGAGCGAGTGTTTTTAGCTAGGGGCGGATTCCGCCGCCCGGCCGGGGCGCGGATGCACTCGGTCGTCCCAAGTGGAGGTGGTGAAGAGCACTCGCGGCCTTGAGCCGTCCTGACGAAGGCACCAACTGGTTTTTTGTTGAGGGGAAACCCCCGAAATCAGCCCAGAGGTCCGGGCTAGATGGCCGACTTGGCTAATTCGATTGCTGGCTCGATAGGGAATGAGTTGGAATGCCCCGAGCTGCACCCCGTCCTTGGAGGGAATGCCCTGGTTCATTCCCAAGCCCTCTGGCAACTCCCTACTGAGAGCCAGATGATTAGCAACCCCACTTACTCTGCCTGGTAACTCCCCTACCGGGGTTACTAATTTGGCTAACTCCCAGACCATCCAAGTAAAGGAGTTCGCCAGAATCTGAACCAATCTGGAAAGATGATGCTCCAAGTTCCTGTTTCTCAGCATTCTAACTTCGGGAGCGGCCCATTCGACACGTCGCCGGATGCGTTTCTGCCGGGAAAAGGTTGATGCTCGGAGCCCCAAGCCTTTGGTAAGTTCTTGGAAAGGGTTCAATCATCTGACTGAAGTACGGAACGGTCGGTCCTCTGTGGCTCCAAACCAAGCCATCTGAATCTTGGGACCTACAGTAATTTCTGGGAAATGCAGACCAAAATCACAAGCTGTGAAAAAATCACGGCCATTTGGGTGTGTCTTTTTTTAGGGGACCCCCCAAACTGAATCGGCTTTCCCTTTTGGTTCCCTTTAAACCAAACCCAATAAAGAGTACCCTCCAAAAAACAAACACTCACACAACTGTTTCAAACAACAGTACAATGGTTCCGGGGGCCCAAAAGGCAACAGGGTTTGCCTTGGCTTCTCACAACCTGTGTGGCTTGGAGCTTGGCTAACTCCACTCAGTTTGGCAGGTTCTCGGAAAAGAAGGCGTACTCTTTGTCACCTCTTACTTACTTGGGTCGGCGGTTTGGAGACAAAGGCTTTCAGTGCTTTTCTGTCAGCTTTGAGAGGGCCTGATAGGTCAAATCCACAGCCAAATACATCCAACCCAAGATCTGTCGATCCTTTTGAGGTTCAGACTGCTCCCCCTTTCCATTGGGAGAGCTTTGGAGGACGTAGCCTCAGCCCTGGGGTCCTCGACTGGGGGCAGCTCCTGCGCCAAATGGTACGCCGAGATCTGCCTGCGAGTGGCAAATCGAGCCGACGAGTCAGACGCGGGTCTACTTGGATATGCGTCCAAAAAATGTGGTTTCCCTCCAACACACACACACACACAATGTTATCTTCTGAAATGCTCTCCATTAACCTCAGGCCTCAGGCAAGGTACCTTCTAGCAGTTTCCTGTCAAAGGCAACCCTCTCGGGTCCCGGCCTCAGCTGGTCCCAGTCCACGTCCGGGTCCCCGTACTCCTCCAGCCAGCTGTGCCCGGCCAGCCAGGTGTGGTACCGCCGCATGTCAGTCAACGGCACCTCCATTTGGCCGCGGAGGGTTGGTCCCAAGCAGGACCTCCAATGATGGGGGCAAGGGATGCGCGCTTCATATGCTGTTGGTGGCTTATATTGCGAAGATATATATATATATATATATACACATATTTTTCATATGGTTACAAACATATGCACAGGTCTGCATACATGTGTGTATATATATATATGCACCTTGTTGTGTTACACACAAAAGATTATTATATGTTATGTCCACATGAGGGGTTGGCAAAACTAGGGGGTGCTTTTGGGGATTCCCTTCAGGCGGCACTCATCGGCGGGACTGGGACCCATCTTCAAAAGCGCAAAGCCCGGCAAGGTTGGGCCGAACCTCTCCCAGATTCCCAGTTGTCTGATGTCACCCATCTCGTGAGTGTGAACCTGTCAACCAAACGGAACTCCACTCATTGACTGAAAACTGGGCGAGTTGATTGAACTGGTCAACGTAAATACCCCCCAAAAATGGAACCAGCTGTGCGCGAGGTTAAGTTGGGAACATCCCAACTGGAAGGGGAAGAAACCAAAAAAGTCCTCAGCTGCCTGCGCAAAGCATCTTTCTGTACTTGTTTGGGCATGGCTCAAAATTTGAATTGGATTTGCCGCCCTCATGGCGCTAGGAATCCTAGTCCCTTACCTCTGCTTCGACGTAAGCGTCAGCTCCCGTGGAGCACCTCCGCCACCAGGGCGGCGAAGCGCACCGGCCGCGCGAGCTCCTCAGGCCGAAACGGGATAAGCCGCTCACAAGGCCTTGAGGGATAGGGCCATGGAGATTCTCGCATCCCAATGGCCCAAGGTTCCCTGGGACAGACCCTTATCAAGCAAAGACACCCTAGCTCACATAGCCCCGGGAGTACATAGACCCTGTGGATTCACGAAACCCTGCGCCAATGGATGAAACCCTGTCAATGGCAAACTGCAGGATTTCGTCCATCCACGGTACTTGGATGTTCAACCAACTTTGTAAGTAGATTAAGCATACTTGTAACCTGGGCAGCTTAGTCCTCTTATAACCATTGTCATACTTACTAAGCCAAGTAGGGTTCCCTCGTCCAAGACGCCCGCACCACCTCATTGGCCACCATCAGCCCACCGTTGGACCTTCCCAGCAGCGCCAGCCTGCCTGCGGCCAAATGGATGTGCCGGATTCGTCGCGTTGAGTTGGCGAAGGAAACACGCCCTAGTCGGGGTGACAATTTCCCCTTTTGAGCTTGCTTCAAAAGGGGGGGAACCCTCAAAGCCGTTCAAAAAAGAACCAGACCTGTTTCAGGGTGCTTGAACAGCAGATCAGCAAAGGAATGATTTTGTGGGTTCTCCCGCCGGGTACTTGACCAGAATTGGACAACTGCAGATTTCATGGCATTTAAACAACTGAGTCTTGCGAGTTTTTTGGAAAGCCAACAGCGGAACCCCACGTGTTTTGCAGGCTGTGTGTTTAAGCTCGTTGGTCTTGGGACGATTTTTCTGTGTCCACCACCTACCCCCAACCCAAACCCCCACAACTCAGCCCGGCCTGGCGCCGCAAGTTTCTGCGCCACCAGTGCGTCAGCCACCGCCTCTAAGTCCTTCCCGTGACTTGCAGCAATCAGGCAATCTTGACTTAGTGGTTTGGTGGTTTGGTGTTGAAGAATGAGGTGGCTCGTCCCTTTTCGGGGGGCCCCACATGGGTTTTCCTTCTGGTGTCCTTTCAACGCAAATGTAGTAAAGGGGTTGCTAAAATGGAAGGTCCCCCTAAGGCTTAAACCACAAAACCAAACCACCAAGGGGAAAGGTGAAGAAAGGCGCTGAAGAATGATACTGATGAGGAAAATGGTGGAACAGGGCCATTGTGGCAGTGAAGGGTTGGAAGGTTGAAGGATTGAGGGCTAGGCAACCACCGCGTACTGACGCTTCGGTTTGGTGAATCTGGCGGGTGATTGGAAACCTCCACTGTGCTCGTCTTGTTGGTGAGTGGGCAAATGGTCATCCATGTCCGGCTCGGTTGCTCGTCCCTTAAATCCAGCCAGCTACAAATGGGGGTATCAACTTACCAACTCCTCATTTGGAGTTGTTTTCACCCCCATCTAACTTAAGAAGCGTGTTTCTACAACTCTTTGGTGGCTAAGCTAGAACAGGGATGTTCAACCAGCTCACAGCAAGCAGGTTATCCATGGTTATAACTTGGGTAACTGGGGCTAGTCCCTTCAAAACCATGCTTGTACACTACTTACTAAGTGGTTGAACATCTAAGTAGGGTCTGATACTTTCGCCCGACTTTGAGATCCTTACCGGTCTTTTCCCTAGCATAGCTGCCCACACCCATTGTTTGGACGGATGCCGACCGTCCAAGTTTCTACCCAAAAACTTGGTCCTCAAACGAGGCTGCCCGATGTCATGGTGTCGTAGCACCCCAGAACTAGATTGGCCTTACACTTTTGGTTTGGTCATCGCTTTGAGCAGCTGTAGAAGGGTCCCCTTGACACCAACCAGGCATGTAGCAATTGCCACTTCTGTGATACCACTGGAACGCCCTCCAGGGTCCTCGGAAACCACCATAAACAAAGCCAACTTGCAGATGTTCCCGCCACATGTTCGTTGGTTTTGCTTTTCTGGACCATTTTGGGGGATTCTGAGGACCCTGTCTTCCAAATTACTGCCTCTCTAAGGGAGGTCCCTACTTGGATGTTCAACCAACTTAGTAACCTGGTTAGTCCGGTTAGTCCCCTGACAACCATTGTTACAATCTACCTAAGTTACCAAGTGGGTTGAACAATCCAGAGTACCCCAAAAAACGTCTCTACCTGCATTTGCTCAAGTCCTGAACATGCTTGGGACCTGCCAAAAAGGGGAAATCTCAAGAGAACCCCCTCTCCCTTGCTGAGTGGCTGGCCCAAAAAAAGTCCAAACTCTATATTTACCACTAAAAGGGTCTTCCCAAAAAGATTGAAGTTCATGAACTCAGGAAGTGAGCCCAGGTCCATTTAACCCTCGGCGTCGGCATCGCCGGTCAGTCGCCTCGTAGGCCTTCAGCCGGCCCGGCGCCAGGCGCCCGGCGCGCTCCCAGGCGGGGCCGAACTCCCCGCCCCCGCGGAGGTTCACCTGGAAGCCGCCATTCCAATCATAGGGGGAGCACGGGGGGGGGGGGGGGAAGCTCCATGTCTTTCCTGAAAACCCCCGAGATTTGAAGTCCACTTGGGTGTTGCTCAAAAAGAAAATGATGATGAAAAACCGAGGTGTTTGCCTCGGTTGTCTATTTGGGTGTTGCTCAAAACATATTCGCCTGAAATAGCTTGTTTTCTGGGGCCCCTAAAACTTGGAGGTTCCTCAAAATAGAGGCGGCTAGAAATGGGTGGTTTCCCGTGTTTTGCCCCAAACCGGTGAACAACTCCCATTAAGTGGGCAACCCTGACTGGGTGTTCGGCAGAGTCAGCAGTCAGTCGGCTAGGGTTCAGCCCACTTACAAGGGGCTTTGAAGTCGTGCGCGTTCTGAAATTTGCGGAGTGCCCCTCATTCCGACTTGTTGATATGCCTTGGTTCCCTGGTTGCCCCTCAGTCCGGGTTTATCGCACAAGGGTTGTAAAAGCAGGGTGCATACAATCACCCCCGACAATATGTTTGTTCAGCTTTTCCCTCATTGTGTGTCCGAAAACCCGGGACTCCCTGAAATGGGCATGTCCCAGAAACAACTTCACCAGCACCCTTTGTTCCCAAGTAAGCCAACCTTGGTACTTGGGGAGGCGGGCCACTTAGCAAGCGGCAAGTACCCCTTTGCTGCAAACCATAGGGGGTTATAAAAAGGGTAAATGGATTTCCAGAGGCTAACCCCTCAGTCTTTGCCAAATTACACACATTTGGATGGGACTTTAAGCCCCTGCCGCGCTATGCCAACGCCGAACCGCAAAACCGCGAAACCGCGCCTCGACGTATTGGCCCCCGCGCTCCAACCAGGCGGCGCCCACGGAGGCGTGGTAGCTGGGCAGCAGCGGGATGCCGAAGCCTGCAACGCTTCGTGCGCTCGCTGGTACTCGGTGGAATGGTGGGTTTGAGGGATGAACCGAGAGGGACCCTAAAAACCCCGGTCAAGGCGACAAGGGAAAAGGTTGAATAGAAAAGCCCCCTTGCCATTTCATGCACTTGCATCTATTGTGTGTGGTTTGAAGAGACTTGGATATTCAGTAAGATAGCTTATAACCTAGTCATCACTCTCAAGGCAGGAGTTATCCCAATTACAAGGGATTGAGCTCAAGACTACTGACCATATCTAGCCACTTACTAACTCAGCCAAACACCCAGGAATGGGGTGGGCAGAGCTGCCCACAAATGCGGAACGTGAAGCTCGGCCCCATTTCCGGGAATTGAGGCATTCACCCATATTCAGTAATTCGCAAGAAATCTCCTTTCAAGCTACAAAGTCCTCTAGCGATCAGAATCCAACTTTGGTATGGCGAGCTTTCCACAAACCCCTGTCGACGAACGAACGCGAATTTGCCGATGCGGGGTTCAAGCTCGAGATGGAAGCCAGTTCGGGACCATGTAGTTTTGGCCCTTCCACAAGTTCTTCAAGAATCCTGGTCTCTGGCATGCATTGCCACTTAGAGCGTAATTTTGAGCATGTCACTTCAATGATACCCAAATAAACTGCTCGCATGATGCAACACATGTCTTCCGCAGGTGGCTAGTGCCACTGGACAAGAAGCAAAACCTACTGATGTTGTCTACCCAAAACCCATGAGCACGGTTACCATCAGATTCTGCTTCCAATTTCATCTACCCCAAAACATATAGAATTGGCTCGGAAACCCCAACAGCATACCCTTGGATCTCGCCCCAAAAACACCCCCGAAACACCGGGACTGCTCGCCTCCGTAGGCGTAGACCAAGGTGGGCGGCGCGGTGTGTGCATCTATCGGGCGGAGGCACACGAATGGGATCTCCGTGCCATCGGCAGAGGTGGCCTGTGCCGGGGCCATCGGGCGGTAGCCCGGTACCCTCCCTCCCATGGCACCTGACAGGTCCCTTCGAAAAGAAATTGGTACCCCCTTTTGCGGGCTTCAAAGGGGAATCAAGGGGAAAACGTGGGTCAGCCAACAACATAAGAGTGAATTTGCACGTGTGCCTGGAAACAAAAGTTTGAGTATCTGGTTCCTTTTTGGAGGGAATCCTTTTTGCGTTGCTGTTGAAGGGAATGGATTGGGGGCTCCCCTAGAGCCAAACCCATGTCAAACTAGGATTCAGCGGGACAACAAGGCTTGGTTGTCTTGAAACCATTGCTACGACCATTTGATTCCGCCCCCAGTTAGATCAGGTTTAAAGGATCGCCTGAAAAGAGCAATTGTTACGCTGGCTAGAAGAGCAGCGTCGTTCTTGGCACAGATCCTGTACCGTAAAACAGCTTCGCTTCGCGAAAATCAAGGGAAACCCAAGAGGGCACACAAGCAAATAGGTAAAGCTCAATTCAGTGGCCCCCTTTGGAAGCAACGAAATGTCTTCCAGTCTTGCGGTTTTGCCTGACCACTGCCCTTAGAGGAAACCAGGGAGAGAAAGTGGATTTGCTTGAGGGTACCGTGTTTGGATGTTTGCGCGAAACCAAAAAGACGCCAAACCACATCACACATGCTACTTGTTTATCCGAATTTCGATGTCCACCATTTTAGGTCCCTAAAACATGAGACACGAAACCATGCTGAGAGAAAATAGAAGAGAACACAACCATGTTTGTGAGAGGCCAACCTATTGTAAGCCTATGGATACCCTGCCCATGAGACCAACCCATTTCCCCAAACCGGAACCTCCAGCCGCATCTCCTGCACTTTGGAGCTGTCGTAGAGCTCCTGCAGCTGCCGCACCAGGCGCAGGCCTGTCAGAAAGCCGAAACGGGTGCGTGAAAGAAAGGGATTTCGGGCTTAGTCCTGAGCAGGGGGAGCACTGCTATAGGTGGTAAACGGTTTTTTTTGTTGTTGTTTTTTTTGGGGGGGGCTTGGGCCTCCCTTGCACACCTTGTCAAGATGTTGCTTTTGGACCCCTAGTGGCGGCTTTCCTTTGGGCTTCCCTTCCCAACCTCAAAAAGGGTCTCAAAAGAAAGAGTACCCACAGCTTGTGAACCCTGACCTCTGTGATACCAAGACAGGGCCTTTCAAATCACCAAGTCTCATTCGAAGGAGGTTTCCTGGTGCCCGAAGATCACAGAAAAAGGCTTCCCAACGTTTCCGTGTCCAAAGCAAGACCCTCCAGTGACCAATTCTCTTGCTACCTACCCCCCCCCTTTTCTGTGAATGAAAGGACAAAATCGGCTCGGACCATTTGGGAGGTCTTGTGCAATGCCGTGCTCCGCTCCGCCTGCCAGCAACGCGCTCCAGGAGGGATCCTTCCACTTGCCGATGTCCTGCGAGTTCGAAGCAAGAGATGCAGGTGTTTCCTTTCAGAACACATGGGCATGTGCTGCTTCAGGGTACTCTGCGCGGGCGGTGTTGGAGGGAAACCGATGAGAAACCACAATTTACCGGGGTCCCTGTATGAACACAAACCCAGACGTGCCCTTGCTTTTTGCTCAAATGTGCGGCATGTGTTGCTTTGTTCTTATATTGTGCTCGGCCAAATCAGCAAGTTTGGTTCACCCAAATCACCCTCCTGCAAGTCCTCATACTGGAAGGGGCCAAAGAATTGGAATGGGGCCAGGGTACCACAAAATTATAAACGAAGTTTGACCATGGGAAATTCATGTTAAAAACGGGTGTCATCGTGTCTGGGGGTCTTTTGCTTTTTACAAAGCAAATGTGGTTCATGATTTTGGGGGGAGGGGTAAACTACTCGCAACTCTTCGGCCCGCAGGTCTCCAAGCACTGGCTGAATGCCTTCATTCCCGATGTCCTGCTGGGTCTCCCAGGGTGCTCCAATCCGATAAGATTCCCATGAGAAGCAAAACGAGAGGAACTGCTTGGCTTGGGGTACACAGAAAATCGTGCTGTCAGATTCTGCTTCATGTTTGATCTACCCGAAAATTGGCGTGGGTGAAACAACATGAACCTGCGTTCCCTACTCCACAGCCACTCTGTGCGGCTTGTAATCCCTGTACGCCGCGTAAACATCACCACACGAAGCAAACGTTGAGATTCAGCAGCACGTACTTTCAATTTGACGTCCTCGATCAGAACGCGTGCCTGTCTCAGGAATTATGAGATAGCAGCTTATGAGCCCGATTCTGCATCACAGTTTGCATACCTGTTCAGCCTGCTCCTGAGAAACGTGCAAACCGGAAGAAAGAACACGTGGCTTTCATTCTGAATGGGCCACAAAGGCAAGCAAAAACGCTGCAAAACAGACTACACAGGAACAGGTAAGGCCCCCAGCCATGTCGTGAACTCGTTCAACCAAAAGGACAGTGTCAAAATGGGTGTGTCCCTTTTTAGGGGACCCCCAAAAAGGCCGAACGGTTTTCCTTTTGGTTTCTCTTGAAAACCACAAAAAGGAGTTATGACTGGGCCTTTGCCTTTTGGGGTTTGTTTGTTGAACAAGGCCTTGCAAAGTAGTCTCACAGCTTCCATGACACAAGACGGGTTGCTGACATTCAGCAAAAAAAACAAATTAAACAGCGCGTCAAAACAGAGTACTGCAAACAACAACCAAAGCCCCGTCTCGCTGCCTCCCCATGGCAACCTTCCTCGCCCCTCCAAAAAAACAGGAAAAACCAGAACAAACAAACTCTACTCTACAACGACCACCCCCCCCCCCACCCCCCGGCCCCCACCCTGCGCAATGGACAGCTATGGAGTAAGTGATAGAGGCTATTTGCATGAACCCTAAAAGAAGGAGGTTGCAAAATGGACCTGTTCGGTGTCCATTAGAATTACCCCCCCCCCCCCAAATTCCACGGATTCGGATCGCATCCTCCGCGTAGAACAGCGCCGGGGGCCTGCGGTACCCAGCGCGGCCCAGCCACAGCCCGTCGCTGGAGCTGGACACTGCGCGCACCGACAACGACACCAGGCCTCGGGCGTAAAACGGCGCGTGAAACGCCGCGAATCGGATGCAAAAAACGAATCCGAAATTTTCGGAGACACGTTGTTAGATCACTTCCGATGGAGTAGATTGGCCAAACAACGGAACCAATTGTGTGCCACTCAAATCCGGTGAAACAGACCTCGCCTCCAAGTCTTGCCGTCGAAGGGGTGAAAGCGAAAAGGTATCGGCGCTCGGCTGAAGGGAAGTGGTTGTGTCTTTGCTTGGAGTTGGTCTTTCTGTTGGTTGGTTCTTGCTTGGGAAACCAAAAGGACACCCAAACGCTATGGGGGTCCTTGCTCCATAAGACAAAACCCGGTGGGTACCGGCAAATGATCAATTGTGGGAGAGATTTGTCTGGCCGTCCTTTTGATTTATTCGAAGCATGGCTTGGCACTAGCGACACCAATGTGGATTCGACGAATCCACCCCGTGACGGATTCCCTTGGTGTAGACCAAGGTTGACCTCTGACTTATAGACTCGCGCTAGTCAGAAAAAATCGGGAAGTTCCCCGATCCACTAACAGGGAGAAAACATCATTCAGAACTAGTGAGTGGTTGGAACGGGGGAAAGAAACATGCTGTTACATGCTTGTCCTCTACGGCCAGAATCACGGGCTACCCACAAGTTGGGTCCCCTTGGCACCGCAATGTGTGCGGTTTTCATCAATGGAACCTCCAGCCCTTGGTGTGGCAACATGGGTCTGTATTTTCTCGGAGTTGGCACCCCTTGTTTCGGTGGTTTAAAGGGAAGCCGAGAGGAAAACTGAAGCCATTTTGGGGCAAGACACCTGAACATCGGTCGGTGTTGGTCGGCTGGGGCTGCAACCAAAACAACACGCCAAAAGCACCCTTGATGCGATCAATAGTCGACTGGGGAATTCCAAGTGCTGATCCTTGAGAGTTGGAACTTGACCCAGGCCAGAGCTGCTCTCGTCGAAGCCGCTGGAGCTCCAGTGCCGCGACCACCCGCCGTCCTCGGAGGCGCCGTGGCCATGAAAAAAAAAAACAAGGCACATCTCTTGGAATTTCTGGTCTTTTATCTTTTACTGCATACCATGTAATCTCAAGGAGAACTAACCAGAAGATAATTCCAGAAATTAATTCACGAGAACTTGACCACAGGAAAATATCATGCAAAAAGCATTTATTATTTACTGTAATCCTCATCAAGACATCTATCCGCTAATAGCCCAGTCCTATCCAGAGGTCTATCATGTTCAGATTGGTTAGGTGTCTTTCCTCACTGTCATTCCACCTTTCCATCTCAACTGTAAAATAATTCTCTTAATCTGAGGTGTGAGAGATAGGAAAAGAAGAGAAAAGTGATGGAGAGAAAGGAATGGATTTGGAAAGGTGGATGAATCCCTTCTTTCCTCTTTACCATTCCTATCTCTTGGAAATAATATTGGCTCGGTGACCGAAGGAAGACGAGCCAATGTGTGAGAGATGAAAGGATGATGTGGGAAGGAATGAAGTGACTGACGGGAGATGTATCCCTTGACCGCATTCCTTCGTTCCCAACCCCATTCTGCTTGGACACTGAAATATGAAGAAAGATGTTGCGTCATAGTCCACGAAATCTCAAGATCCTTTTGGAAACGCCTGCAAAAGAAGGAACATTGGACATTTAGCCGGAAAAATGGCGTGGATATCTTGGTTCTCTCCTGCGGTACTGGTTTTTTGGGGTAGTGCAAGCCGAGGGACAAAAACAAGAGCAACAAAGCTTCTTAGAACCTTCTTAGAAACGCCTCTTAAGAAGGCGTCTGCAAACCTTTTCAGGATCTTGGGGAACCCTTATATCTCTGATGTATGAGCATGTGCTTCCCAACAAGCCAAGAGGCCAACCAAATGCACAGGAAAACAGCAAAACGGAACAGGCGTGGATCAAATATATGGCTTTGAGACCCCCAAAAAAACTTCTGAGTGGTTGGCCAGAAAAGGCCCCACCAAAATCCGCCAATCCGCACCCACGCAAACCCTGCCAAGCCCTCAATCTTTCACCACCGGAACCAAACTACACACCCCTCCCCCGCAACCGCGGCGCCTCTTTCAGCACCACCAGCTGGCCCCGCAGGTCCTCCAAGATCTGCAACACCACGAAGTTCCCTCGGTGTGGACACACGGGTCGATGTGGCCACCTTTTGACTCATTGGTCCTTTTTTAGGGTTGATTCAAAGCATCTGCAGGTTTCTTAAGGGTTCTCTGCAAGTGGGGGGACGAGTTGACGGGTTCCGCAACCACTTGAAAGGGTGCCGCTGAACTGGGTGTCCTGAACCGAAACCAAGCAAGTCATTCAGCTTCGCAGGAAAAAGGGAAGCGATGGCCACTTCTTGCTGTTTGACCTCATCCCAACAAACAGGGGTAGGGTGGGGGGGGTAATACCTTTCAGGATGCATCCAAATTGGGTCAACCAATGTGGGGGGGGGGGTGCCGGCCAACATCCCCAGCATCATCTGCGGAAAAGCGCCAACATCACCAGCATCACCAGCATCACTGCCCCCAACGCGAAGTATCATTCGCCTGCATCACTAGCACGGCCTGCATCACCGCCTTCATGTCAGTATGGGAAACGTGCCATGTCGGAAGACAGTGGCAGAATGTCGCCAACGAGAAAAAAGAAAAAGAAAAGAGTAATCCCAAAGGGGCACCATTTGTTGGTCTGCAGCAAAAGCGGTATTGTACATCGCAGCAGAAAGCAAGAACATCGGAGAAGCACGCGGAAATGTGCTCTGAAGCAAAAAGAACTGGTCCATCAAATCAGTGAGGGATCCAAACGAAAACAAGATCTCCTCCAGTTTATAAACTGAGGGTCGCTAGTCTGAGTCACTGCGCAACAGCTTTGCCGGAAGGGTGGAATTATGTTTCATAGGCCCCCACAAGGCACCAACATTGAAGACTCGTCGTCCATTGGTCAATAAACACCTTGACTTGGGGTTGGTAGGGCTGCTCCTTTTCTCTTTTACCTAGGGTTTAGACAACCATGGGGTGCCCAGTGAAGCAACCATGACCGAATATACTCCCCGACACAGCCACAACATGCTCTAAAAAGAGGGTCCCCAAAAGAAGGCCTTCCTGAAAAAGGGCGTTCGGATACTGCCAACACCCCTGTTAAGCCTTGTCGGGGATCCTTCAATAAAGGGATCCCTGAAAACGGTCCTTACAGAAGGGGCTTTCTTGAGGGCTCCGAAAATCTAAGAACCCATGTTCACAAAAGTATACAGAAATTTTGCCAACTGCCCACAAAAGCCAGGGGTCTGGGCTAACTTCCTGAGCAATCCCTGGAGATGGTTTCTGAGAAGGAGAAAAGGGCGGTCCCAGGCCCAAGCTGACTGAGACCAAAAGGGGGCAGGGCCAAAAGCCAAGGAGCCCGCAACATCCCTCGATGCAAAGGACACAAGGACTATATAAGCCTCTTAGTCTCAAGGGACGTCCGGGCCCAAATTCGAATTGTGTCTTCAAACAGGTGCCCGCAAAGCTGGTGGCTCTAAATAATACCAAGCAATCGATTCCCAGGCGCTGGTACACACAACCTTCTGCAGCGTAGACCAACGTGGCGTGCCGCTACAAGGAAGGCCTGAGCGAAACACCCGTGGCACGTCGATAGGTGCTTCGCCCGATAAATCGCGAAAAGTTGGTAAGCTGGTATGTTGGCAGGAGAGTCCTGGGCTTGCAAGTAAGCAAGTTAGACATGAAGTTAGCAAGATAAGCTAGTTAGTCAGCTTGTGTACATTGTAAACTTGTTAGATTAGCTAGTCAAAGCTTGTTTGCCAAAAGATCTTCCGTAGTGCTGGAACTAATTGATCTGCGCTTGCTCCAAACTATAGCCCTAACTTGTCTGAAGCTTCTGCCGCCCGGAGCCCCTGCCTCTCCATGCTCGAATCTTTGGGCGAGGCTCGTTGCGGTGCCCAAAGCTGCTCCCAGCCCTCGGTGCTGTTCGTGAAGGATTTGGCCAGGAGCGCTCCTGGAGAGATCCAGGCTGCAGATGGTGCAAGCCGAATCGTTCGACCCGATGCTGAGGGAAAGTGTCAGCTTGTCCTTGTGTGGGTGGGTTTTATTCAAAAGGAAACCAAAAGGAAAACCGAAGCCATTTGGGGGGCTCTATATATCCTATTTTGCATATAGTCTCACAATGCTCCAAAGGCTCTGTCTCAAAAAAGTTGGTCCGTGCAAACGGAAAACAAACCTGGGTTGTTCCCAGATCCCCTGCCAAAAGTCTACTTTGCATGGTTTAGTGGAAACCTAGGGGTCGCTGTGAACCACCAAGCTAAGGACCCTGTCCATCGATGTTCTACACTAGCTTGGTCCTTGTTTTGAAGGAGCAATCACGTTTGGTACTTTCGCCACGCAGGTGAATTGAGTTTGCCTGGAAATGAGGAAACATTAAAGGAACAAATGGGGGGTGTCGCAGGCTGATTTGGTGAGTGCTTAGATGTTCGAGCCACGTGGTAGGTAGATTACAGAGAAGGGAAGGACAATGACCCCAGTTGTGACAGTCTTATGGCGAAGTTACGCTCGGCTGACCAAACATGCTTTGTGTGATACCTCCAACCATTGCAAGTAGGAAACAAGCGAACCCTGCGACCTACCGTGGTTGACTCTGTGGGTTGATTCCTCATTCTCTTCACTCTTCACCCATTCTCTTCAAAGTTGAATAGAACCCGCCTGCAACCAGTGCAATGCATGTTCAAAACCGACCGATCAAAAGCACACCTACGAGTTCGCTTAATTTTGAACCCGGATCTAAGTAGAACCCACACTATTCATAGCTGGGGGTGTTCCCCTCCAAAAAGTGGTCTGAATCCCCACTAAAAAGGGGACATCCCCGTTGGGTAGATCCTTCATTCGCCACCAAGTGAGGCGGCCTTTGGTTCGAAAAATCCCTATCTGGTTTATGGACGTGCTTGGGTGGATAAGGAAAAACAAACGGAAAACCGGTATATAAGCCATTTCGCGGTCCCCCCCCTTTTTTGGTTGGGGGGGAGGGGGGGTTGGAGGGAAGGGGCCCTGTGTTGACCACACACCCAGGTGCCCTTTGCTCAAAAGGACTCGAAACCCTCCTGGTGGGAAGCCTTCGAAGCCGCCGCGGAGCTGCAGCAGTAGGAAGTGCTGGAAGATGGTCAGCTCCTTCAAGTTGAATTTTTTTTGGGGGGTTGGGGGATTCGGGAGGGGATTGGGGGGATTTTGGGGGGGATGTTGGGGGAAATTTGGGGGGATTTCGGGCAAAATTGTTGGGGGGATTTTGAGGGGGATTTTGGGGGGACTTTGGGGGGGATTGGGTGGGAAATGTGGGGGTGATTTCGGGCAAAATTTTGGGGGGGATTTTGAGGGGGATTTTGGGGGGGATTGGGTGGGAAATTTGGGGGGGATTTCGGGCAAAGATTTTGAGGGGCTTTCGGGGATTTTGGGGGGGATTTTGAGGGGGATTTACGGGGGATTTGGGGGGGATTTGGGGGGGATTTGGGTGATGGGGAGTGCGGGGTTGGGAGTTGGGTCAGCTCCTTCAAGGGCACTCTCCAATAACAGTCTCACAGTGACAGGCTAACACACATTGCTTGGGGAGAAAGCCGTCTTGTGGAGTCTTTGGTAAGCCGAAGAAAAACTGGAAAACCGACATCCATTTTGAGTCCCAACAAACTTGGACACTACGCACACCCTCAAACCCCGCTCTGCGCCACGGACCGCCCGACGCTGTGTCTGAAAAAAGCTCACAGAGAAAAGTATGTGTTCAGATATCGAAGAAAGTCGAGAAAAACAAAAAAGAATAAAACAAGACTTGACACCCCCACAAAAGGGATTGTGTCTAGTCCAATTGCACAAAAAAAAAACACAAAGCGAGAACGCCAGAACAATGTCGGTTTGGAGTAGTGGGATTTAAGGCTTTGAACATTTGCTTCTTGTTTGCCCCCCTCTCCTTTCGAACCCAAAGGGGGCTTTCCGAAAGCAGGAACACGCACTTTGCCAAAGTGGGCCCTTAAGGTGGACTAGCGGCTCCGGAGTTGGAACCCTTTTTGGATGCCACATTTGAAGAAGCCCGCGAAGACGACGTGTTCTTTAGATGCTCAACCCACAGTCAGCATTACCCATGGGCACAACTGGAATAACCGGCATTGGCCTCCTTATCATGGGACCATGGCCATACCCAATTTGAACATCCCCAGGTCTTCTCAAAATGCCAATATACTCGGCTCGCATCTGGGACACTTCAAAAATATGTGCTTTTTGTCCGATCCGTTCATGTTCATCACCCCAAAAAATATACTGTGACTTAAGCATGTTGGACCCTCAAAAGAGCTCTTTTTGGAAGTTCAATACCAATGGCCCAATGGCGGTCCCTTTCACTTGAATGGGTCCGAACTCTGCTGCTGCTGTTTTGTAGGAGATCAACCTATGAGGTCGGCCGCCCGCTTGCGCTCCGCATCTTGGGGCACGTCCAGGCGCCGGAGCTCCTCCTCCCCCAAGGCGAGGAGCCACTCCTGGCGCGCTTGGCATCTTGGCAGCGGGGGTCTACTTCCCCGCAAAATTGCCAGTGCCGTGGTGGTTTTGGTGTGGTTTGGTTTTGTCTTGGTGTGGTTTGGCGTGGATTGGAGTGGTGTTTGCTTGAAAACCTTACAGGGCACTTTCCCCATGCTTCCAAAGGAGCTGGGATTCAAGCCCCAAACTGCCAATCCAAGGCCCAAATCTGGAATACAATGAGCCCACGGAAAGCGGCTCAGGCCCTTGGATCCTGTTCCTCCAAAAGGAAACCCCAAAAGCGTTGATGGGATGTATCTGGATATGTTGAACATCTTGACTCATGACCACAACCTGGGAAAGAGTAAAACTCTAACGGAATGAAGGAAAAACGAGGAACGAAGCTCAAATAGGGGGCTTACTTTCCCAAGCCCTTGTTGTTGTTTTGAGTGTCCCTCCAACTCCTGGTTTGGATTGGTTTGGAGGTGTTCCGGGGTGGTTTCCCATTAACCCTCCGGAAGAGGTTCAAGTCCAGAGCCAACCAATCCAAATCAAGGACCAACAATTCGAACTTGCAAACTCAAACCAATTGAGGGTCGCCTGAGTTTGTCTTTTGTGATAACCAAAAAGGGTGGCAACTTTGATGATCCATGGGATTTCTGTTGCCGACTTCAGACCCTTCTCGAACCCCCACTCCGTGGCGTGGAAGCTGAGGGCGCGCTGCACCACCTCCACCTGTCGAACATAGACGACTCGGCTTCGGGTGGTGTGGCCCCTGTGAGATGTGTGAAAGGGGTGGTTTTTCCATTTACAAGAAGGGGGTCACCCTCCACAAGTGGAGAGAGTCACCCTCCACAAGTGGAGGGGGTCACCCTCCACAAGTGGTTCCATTGCCAATCCACACCATCTAAGGATTACTTGATTGAATGGGCGATACCAAGGTGGTGTCACCGCAGCCCCCTTTGCACTCTTCGGGAATCGAAGGTGGGGATCCCCAATCCCACCTTCCCCCCAGATTCAAAACTCTTTATATGGCCTATGGTGGTTACCTTAATAGGAATCATAATGGCCATTAAGGATTCGTACTACCAGGTGGATGACCCTCCCTGCTAACCCGTGAAGGGGTCTTTTCACCATGGCACAGTTGATGTGGTCGGATGGCCTGGACCTTACCTTCCCCACCTGGCAGAATGAGCGTTCGAACCCCCCAAACCAATCCAAAGCACCAAAGGGGTACGCGACAATCTGGACATACAGAAATCAAAATCTAACATTAGGAATCCTTGAGCTCGTCATAATTTGACCAAATGGGCGCGTCTCAGAGTGCCCTTCTGGCTTGAACTTGGATACCAACCGACAGGGGATCCACTATATGGATATCTTTTTGGAGAACCCCTTTTGGTTAGTGTTCAATCAAAAACAAAAGCGCGACCAATCCTTTGAAGGGGTCCTCTATTTTGAAGACATATCCGCTTTCAGAGACACAGTGGTGAGGCTTCAAGGTCAAATTTCAGGTGCACCATTCCACTCGGAGAGACCGTCTATTTAGGGTCTGCCTCAAGACTCGGAGAAGCCCCAAACCTCGTGGTGTCCGCTTTGGTTTCCCTCGAAAAAGCAACCCGAAGTGACAAGAGCCCTCCTGGAAGTGGTCGTTCCGCACCACGTAGCCCAGCACCACCTCACCGAATCCAAGAAGGACGCGAAGAGGGACAGCCGAAGCGGAGTCGCCGGTTCGGCGGTTTTCTCGGGGGATCCGTTTTGTTGGGTTGGTCTGAGTGGGAAGGACGAGGAAACTCGAGAACCATGGTTGGGGTCGCCATGTTTTGACACGTGCCCATCTGGTGGTACGGTTTTTGCTCTAAGGGGAGCACTTGGCACAAACAAAAACTGAAACCCAAATGGAAACCAATTGTTCAGTCTTTCGCTCACCTATGGAAACTGGACAAAAGGAATGTCCCCAAAACCTACCGCATCTCCAGCTAACAAATCCTTTCTGGGATAACGTCACGCCATGTCAAAGCGTCAATCCCCATGTAAATAATAAAAAGCTCAGGAAAGGGTGAGGAGTGTAGGTGGTCTGTTGAACAAAATAGATGGCACTGGTAAATAAAAATCGAGCCAAACTCAAACCAGGGATACCCATCGATTTGAACCATGGACCAACACCGTTCGACTGAGGGCCTTGAAGGGCACGACAAATGTCCGAGGCCCTGCAACCAGTCATTTGAACAGCGGTGATTGGACTGAGCCACAGTCATCGACTCATTGGACCAGTTTCGCACGGTCCTTGAATCACAAGCTTAGGCCGCTAGAATTCAGAACATGTATCCTAGTTCTAGAAAGATGGCTCTTGTGCTGTTCGATGCGTTAGAATAGATTCAGCTGTTTGCATGGTGCTATTCAAAGTTGAAAAGGTGTTCAGTTGGCATCACTGTGCCCCGACGGGTACCCAGCCTCAAAAGTCAGAAGCTGAACATATCTTTTTAACCATGTTGCGCGTTTGGGAACAACTAACCCTTGGGATAAAGGACTTGGAAATAACTTAACTGTTTAACCAGTTGCCTTGTTGGATTTCCCTCACCAACAAAGTGAAAACCTATCTGCGGCTTGGATCCATTTGGCCCAAGGGGCCTCTTTTTGGAGAAGGAAAAACAGGAAACCAGTCGGGTGTTTCTCACAGGCCCCTAAACTGGTTGGGGTCCATTTTTGAGAATCGCCCGTTCGGCACCGCAGGGTTCGGGTCGGGAACCAGCCCCTACGGTTGAGGGAAGCCAGAAGGAGGTTTGTTGAACAAGAGGGTGTTTACACATGCTTTTGCCCGAACTAGGGCAGCTTGCCATTTATTTTTAATCGGTTTTGGCTTCCCAGATTTTGGAAAGGTTTTGCAGATGTTCGTTGGTTTCCTCCAACCCCTTTGTGGGCTCTCTTTCGCTGGCGGGAACTTTTTGGCCAGTTTGTAGGGTTCCCTATACTCCACTACGGGAGCCTCAGCCAGCCAGCCCGTTGAACCCCCAAACCCCCTCCAAGCCGAGGCGCGTGGTCCTTGACGTTGCCCTCAAAGAGCACTGGTGCTTCTTGGAGCTCTGTTCCGCGCCGCCAGAGCCGCACGCTGCGGGGGTAGCCTGGGAGAACAGGCGCCTGTTTGGGGGGTGGTTGAAAGGGAAACCAAAGCTGACGTCCCGAGTGCATCGGCCAAAGAAAATGTAAATTCAGAGTTGCCACTGGAATTTGTCAAGCCCAGGAGTGGGAAAGGGAACCCAGTTGCATGCGAGGGTCACCTTTTTTGAGACTCACCCCTGCAAAGGTTGTTGTTGTTTTTTTGGGGGGCGGGGATCGAAAGGAAGCCGAGTCATATTGGTGGGAGTTTCTTTTCTCAAAATGGCGGACCCCCGTCTTGGGGGGGCTGGCTTACAGGGAAACCAAAAGAAAAAGGAATCCAGTGTTGGGGCTTCCCTTATCCTATGAAGCAAACTTAAATAGCCCGTTTCTCAAAATGGAATTGACCTCGAACGAAGGGCTCCAATTTGGCTGGTGTTTTAAAGCAAACCAAAAGGACAATCACCTGGATTGCGCAGAGAAAAGTAACCAAACGAACCTTATTTACCAAGTTGATCTTCACAAACAAACAAAAAAGAGTTCTCAACTCCAGAAACGGGGTTGAATTAGGGCATCATTCCGCACTTTGAAAGCTGAACAACCAGCATTCTGGCTCGCGCAAGGTCTCATAGGACCCTTTTTGCCTGGGAAGAAACCACGCCCATCCATTCCGGCCCGTGGGGAATCCCACAAGGTCCGATGCACGAGTGTCATCTCAACTTGATTCAAGTGGGTGTGCTTTTGGAGGGTGCCTTTTTGTTGGGTTGCTTGAAATGGACACCAAAAGAAACTCTCCAATGTAGTGGACGAAATCCTGCTCCAGTTGGTAGGAGGGCTATCCCATCATTTACAGCCATTCCGCAAAGGGCTTCATCTATTCCAAGTCCCAAGCAGGATTTCGTCCACCCGCAGTCTTAACCCGTTTGCCCTTTATATAGGTATGTCTTTTTTAGGGGACCCCCCAAAAATGTTGGTTTCCTTTGGTTTATCGGCAAGACAGAAACAAGGGTACCCTCAAGCCAAGAGACCAGGACCCTGAAGATGGTGCGCGCGTGAATGCATGCTTTCAGGCTTGGGGAGAATCCCTGGATGCTCAAATCAGTTGTGAATCCATGATCCTTGCACCGTTTCTGTTTGCACAGGTGAGCCTAAACGCCTCACCCGCCCGCAAAAGGCATCGCCCCCGCCCCCTCCTCAGCCCGGAGCTATTGTCCAAGGCGCCAGCATAGGTGAGAGATCCAGGCCCGAAATCCGTGCTCACCAAGAGCAGATCTCTGGAGCGATATGACACCACCTTGGCGGACGTGACTTGGAGTTGGCAAGCAAATGCAGGCCCCTTGGTTGTGGAAAGTCTACCTTTTCTGTGGTACCAAGATGGGGTCTATCCAACAATCGTGATTCAAAGCCATAGCGAGGCAAGCCATAACAGCCTAGTGACTATAAGTGACGAGGTGCGATTGACACTGAAACTGAAATCCATATATACTACAATAACTTAAAGTACAAAGTTGTTTGAGAACCCTCCCTTGGTTTGTAGTGGTGTTCTCCATATTTAGCGGTGTGTGTGGCCTCGGGCAGCAGTGTCCGCTGGCTTCAATCCAACTGACGCGGCATTGATGGTGCCCAACCGCCCACCAACCGAAACCAACAATTCGCCAAGGAAAACCAGGCCAGGGCAACAGGAAACCGCCTCGTCACTTTCGTGAACCCAGGACCCCAGATTACTATGATTCTCAAGCGTTGGAACCACCTCAATTACCATAGGGCCCCAATTGGGATTCATTCTAAGCCCGACCAGGAATTCTGTAGGAAATCTTCTTGTTTGCGTGGCCTGTCTGAAATTCCTTCCGGCTTCTATGATTCATGCCCATTTCCACCCACGCCCGTCGTCCCGAAACCCCGAACTGCGCGATTGATCGGGCACCCCGCGGTCTTGCTCTCGGGCAGGCGGAAGCCGCCTGCCAAGAGTCCAAAGGTTCCCAGCAGGGCGGTGGGAAACGGCCACTGTGATACACAGAAAAGGCTTCTGAAAGACTAACCTCCCATATAAAGGGGGGAGATTCTCTTGTATCACAGAAGTGGGGATAAACCCCTTGATCCCACAATCCTGGTTCTCAGGGATTAGTGGATGCAAAACACTTTCCTGTCTCCAAACGAAAAGAAACAACAAGTACATTGCAAAGGTGGCCCTGCAATCCCTCCATTCCCCCAAACGACTTTCTGCCCCGTATAGAATCAATGGGGGCATTGTAAAATCCCGCCGCCGCCCTGTTTGAAAAAAGCCGAACTTGCCGGCAGATCACTGTGAGCAAAGAAGCCAAAAAACACCCAACCTGTGGCGAAATGACCCCAATGTACCCTTACTTCTTGCTCAGTTCTGTAACAAGACTGTTTCGCTTAGCTCTCTTTGTCGTAAGCCCAGGTGATACAAGCCTCAACAGCACCAGGCATATCAACCGCCATAGCTTTCAGCCGTCGGGAAAAAAAAAGAAGAAACTACAAGATGGGGGCTGCTTGCGGGGGTATGACATGGGCTTATGCGTGGTTTTTTTTTGGACAAATCAAAGAAACAAACACATGAAAAGGATTATATTAAAAAAATAAAATAAAAATAAAATGTAAACAGCCAACAACCTGCAGGGGACGAAAAAATAAAAACAAAAAACAAATGGCCCACCTCCCGGTTGCCTTCCGCCTCCGGCACGAAGGTCTTCCGGTCCAGGTCGAACTCCCTGGCCTCGAAGGCGTCTCTGCCCCCCCGCGACAGGAAGACCATGGCGCGGCTCCCGTGCTCCTCAGGCGCTTTCGCGCCCTAAACCCGGCAGACTAGGCGTTTCGGGCGAGGTTTTCGTTCGGGCAACACGTCCCCAAGTCTGAAGAGGAAAGCAAGAGATGATGAAGCTGGTGTTGAGGGGTCCAGACTTATTTTTGTTAGCTGGGAAAAACGCCACAATGGAGCCCTAATGGAAGCAAGGACTAAAGGTGCGGTCCCCTGATGGTTTCTTTTGACCCATACCCAAATCGACACCAAGTTTCCTTGGTAACAAAAGCATTTTGGCGATGCCCTTGGGAAATATGTTTGGGTGTGTCAGAAATGTAGGGGAACCTCCAAAATGCTGTTCTTCTTGTTGGAATCCCTTCAAAACACGCCAATAAGGGTGCCATCAAAACATACATACCTGCCCATTTGTCGGGGTTGTCGAACAAAGAAAACCAAACCACATAGAAACACCAGGGAGATCTCGGTGTTCATACTATAGTCACACCCAGATTTCATAACCTCATGGTTCATTCAATAGGGTGCCCAAAACGAGTCGGTGGCTGCTTACCCTCCTGAAACCAAAACCTTGTTGGTTCTCAGTTGTGAATTTCAAGAGTTTTGGGAATGAACCTGGGGATCCCTGGAAAAAATGTCGACATCCTTCCCTCATTCCCGACTGAGAATCAGGAGGAAGGGTCCATCTTAATTTGCATGAGTTACATTTGGCCCCGCCGAAATGTGCACCATGTCAAAGCGTAATGCAAGCAGGCTGTTTAGTCCCCAACAAAACAACTTGAACTAGGTTTTCTAATCCTCTGGACCCCAGACCAAAACACGGGCACCCTTTCAAATGGCAAACCAGGGTCTTTCCCCTAACAACCCTGGCTGAACCAGGTCTTCGGACAATTTGGGGTGCCGCTCAGGCCACGTCCGGTGGCTCCAAGGCGCTTTGTCACTTCATTTGGGGTGTTGACGCCGCGTTTGCTGCGGCGAAACATGTGGATGTGGAGCGGGATCAAATCCAAAGAGGTACATAAAACTAAGAGGGTAGCAAAGGTTGCTTGCTTGTTGAAGCGCCACTCTGTTTGGATACGGGACAGGAAGCTTCCTCGTGGGTGGTCTTTGAACCAAAGCTATTTCTAGGATACGCAGCATGGGTTTGACTCAAAATTGAGAACTGGACTGCAAGAATATGTGGTATGGGTTGGCCAACCAAAGCCGGTTCCCTAAAGAAGAGACACAGCCGCATTCCAAGTGCGGGAGGTTTCCCTTGAAACCATCCGCTCCGCATCTCTTTTTTCAGGGCAAGTAGGAATCATTTGCCAGCCGAAACCTTCACGCTGCCGCGAGCGCTGGCCTCCTCCACGAGCACGTCGAAGCCCCGCCAAACAAAGCGTTCACCTCTGCGAGCCGTGGGCCTTTGGGCTAAACCCAACATGGGCAGACAGGTGCGTCTCAAAATTGGGGTATCCATGACATGGGTTGCTTCCTTTTTGGTATTTTGAGACGCACCCAAAGGCCCAAAGGTTAAATGAGTGTGGTTTTTTGGTGGGGACCCTTTGGTGGCCATTTATTTTCTAGGGGATTTGTGTCCAGCCGCAGATGTTGGACCCCAAACTCTGGGACTTTTGATTCCGAACTCGACATGGTGTTTTCAGAGGCTTTGGGTGTTTGTTTTTGGTTCCCCCATTCTGAGACAACTCAGCATCGGATACCAAGATGACCATTTGTGGACGTCATATTTAGGTGGGGATCTAATTACTGTTGAGGCGGTTCCCATTCAATTTCAAAGCCATATACATATTGATGTGCCGAATCCCGCATGTGACCGCAGAGTGCTGTGCCCAAATCCTCTGGAAGTATTGCGACCACCTTCTGGGACCTTGCCTAGAGCTGGACCGACATGAAAAGGCCGAAAACTTATGTCTGGTTTACTTGCATTGGGCAAGCGTGGGTGAGTCTGTGTTAGGGGGCTCCGCCAAAATTGTGGTTTTACACTTGGCGTTCCCCAAAAAACGGCTACCCTGAATAAGAGACAGACCCTGGCATCCTTGGCCAAACCTCTCATAGCAGCGGGACAATCTGAATAAGCTGTAGGTGGATGCAACTCCCCCGTTGCAGAGCCCAATATGGGAATGTGCCAAAATAGATTAACACTGAAACCATTGATATTCTGTGCAAAATTGCAATAATTCACAAAGTGGAAGTATTAATGTGTGAGATCGTTTTACCCTCGTTCCAATTTGTCACAAATTGATGGGTTCCTGGAAAAGGCCCACTTGATAACAATGCTAGGTCGGCAAATGCGCACATGTCAAATACTGACAGGATCTGTGCCTTCTGCCCTGCCCAGCGCGTCC